CACAGGCTGGATTTTCCGGCGTTGGCTCGGATGGCCTTTTTTGGCTAGATTCTTGGGGCTTATGTTGGGGTGATCTTTGGGGGATCTGGGGGGATCTTGGGGGGGTCTTGGTAAACTTGGGAGGATCTTCGGAAGATCTTGGGGGGATCTTGGGGGGATCCGGGGGATCTTGGGGGGTCTTGGCAGGTTCTTGGAGTATTTTCTTTTCTCGGAGAGTTTCGGTAGGAGGGTTGCAGGTCTTTTTTACTGGGCAGTGAGGGCTGGACTGCGTGCTCTTCTGGTTGTATATACGTCCTGTCTCACCACTCCTGTCCATGATTGAGCTTTTGTCTCAGCCCCTGGCTCTCAAGTACAGTAGTCTGTGATCATTCATTCTGCTCAGCCCAGACCTAAACCCTAAAGCCTGCACCTTGAATCCTAAGTTCTAAATGCTTGACATAAACCTTAGACCCTGAGCAATTCTGAACCTAAACCCGCCCAAGTAACCTTGAAATAACAATTCACAGAACCCCGTGGATCATTGATAGGCGTGAGAAAGCTGACGGGGTCAAAAAGAAATAAATCTTGAACTCCCGGGCGGTAGTTTCCATACATAGGGGGACCCCAATATATACCCTCAAATATGAGAATCCTTTTCCAAGGTGACCCCCTAAACCCTAAACCCTAAATCCTAAACCGTGTTAAAAAGTACTCCGATTGTGGGAAATCCCCAGGCGGCTCCAGAAGCACCTCGGGCGCTCCGAGGGCCCATGTCTCTCCGACAACCTGGGCCAGGTGCCAGAGGCCATCGCTGTCATTGGGGGCAGCAGTAGTTTAGGGTTTAGGGTTTAGAGTTTTGGGGTTTTAGGGTTTAGGGTTTTAGGGTTTTGGGTCTTAGGGTTTTAGGGTCTAGGGTTTTAGGGTTTTAGGGTTTTATTGTTTTAGGGTCTTAGGGTTTGAGGGTTTAGGGTTTTAGGGTCTTAGGGTCTTAGGGTCTTAGGGTTTTAGGGTTCAGGGTTTAGGGTTTTAGGGTTTAGGGTTTTAGGGGTAGTGGAAGTGATAGCGGTAGCGGTGGTAGTGGTGGCGACAATGATCATAATTTTTATGGTGAGAACTGTTATTGTTACTTTACAGCTACTCTGACCATCGGTGATTCTAGTGCGGATGTTTCTGATTCTGACTACTATTGCTTTTCTTACGACTCTTCAGTCTTGAAAAGCATGCCTGCTCTCGCTTCCAGTTCTACTTGTTGCGTGCATCCTGGGTGATCAATCCACATCTATACTGGAGGCTTTGGCAACGTTCCGCGAAGTACATACTGTCTTTGGCTGCAGAGTACTCCTCTTATGGTACTTGCTACTGAAGAGCTTGAACTATAAGTCCTACAAGCCCAGCCTCCATTTTATTTTTCCATTCGGTTCTCGCTTCTTGGGGAAGGTCAATCAGGCAAGCGCACCTGTCAATACGGAAGACGGTCAAGCACACGTCAGCGAGCACGCGCAACTAGATAGGCTGCTCGACATAGTACAGAAATTGGGAGAAGATTTTTCTGACTCGCAGCTGGCCGTGAGATTGATTGTAATCCGGCGCTTGGTGCGTTGTGGTCGGTACACGTTGACCGTTTACCTGGATCCCGCTCGGAGGAAGGCCGTTCTGCAGCTGCAGCCAAGCGTGCAACAATTCCAGAACTACCAGCTTCACCTCCAGCTAGGCAGACACGCCGCAAAATGCTCCCAGATACATTTGTTGCGTGTCCTACTGGAGGATCGTGGATTCAAAAAATCGATCCATGATTTGAACTCCTACCAGTCGGAGCTCTTTGACGCTGGGTTATTCCTGGGAATGATTTTCAATTATTATGGACTAATTCCCTGTACGATCCCTAGAAAGCATAAGGAATTCAATTGTTGTGGGGCCCTAAGCCTATCCCAGGAGTTGGGAATCTACCCTGAGAATGTGGCTGAGCAAGACCAGGGACAGCAGCAATCTCAGCCAGCTTTCATCCTAGATGACCTCCGCAATGAGGAGCCGATCTCGCTGCCAGTCTGTTATACTGGGACGTTGTCTGCGTTGTCGCTTAAGTCCTTCTGTAATGTTACGTGTCTTCAAGTCCCTAGAAGAATAGAGCAGAGCAGCATTTAGTAGACAAAATGTTGGCCGGTAGGTTTTGCAATCAGACTGCCTTTGTGGGATTCAGTAGAGGGTGGGGGTGTCATGGCATGACTATTGAATGCTTAGACCTCTTTGTGACATGACACACAACTGTTCAGAGGTTTCGCATTCGAAAGTGGATTCACAAGCATTCCCGCTGGCAAGACTGGAAGGACAAAAACTTGACGAAGATACAGGAAAGCTCCCAGGAGACGCAGGTGCAGTGGGAATGCACAGAAACACCATCCTTTCGCTTGCTGCCAAAGGATGAACGTTTGCTGCTTCCGGATTCCGAGGAGAAGCACATCGCTGAACAAAAGTTCTACATACATGCTGTGGGGGCATCTAACTGGAGAGAGTTTGTTTCATATTTTAAGCAAAAAGTGCAAACAACGCATCGGCTGAAAAGGGAGCAGGAATTCAGTTTTCTTCGCGTTCCTCAGCCCTGAGTACAGCTCGAGCCCTTGCGCATCTTTTATGAGGGCTCTAGGAAGGGTGGGGGGGAGCGGGAATCAGGACTACTTCCGGAGGCGGTACTATGACAAGCAGTGCTTTTGTACAGGAGCGGACTTGCAAGACTCACTTGCCAGTTTGCCTTTGGGCACACCTTGGGTTGCTGTTGGGAATTTAAGTTAAGTTACCATGATATAGGTATGTAGTAAATAAAAGGGCTTCCATATTGTAGTAATTTATTTTAAGCTTCAGTCTAAACTCCTTAGAGGGGGTTATATAGGGGATTATATAGGGGATTACAATAGGGGGTATTAAGGGGGATACTAGGAGTTTACACTACAGCTGTTTTAAGTTCCTTAACAGCAAGCCAGCGTGCAGACGCTTACCCTCGAGACTGACTTGCGGGTTTGCGTGTCCACCGTAGCGCCCGGCGGCCTTGAGAGGGTACCTCCGGGGTTTGTCACAAGTATTTGTAGACCCTTCGTCTGAATATATAAGCCCCCCCACCCCAGATCCCCTAGAAAGAAATACATCACCCAAAATGTCAGGTCTCGTATGGGGAATGGGGGAATGCTTACTGAGAGTGCTGGGGGGGGTTGTAACATCGGTACGAGGGGATGAGTCCATGAGTTTCTCAGGCTCACAGGGTTTCTGTTTCAGAGAAGGCCCCCCTTGCCTCGCCTACGGCCTCAGGGGGGATCCGCTCACCTCAGTCAAAAAGTGCCTTGCTGTTCTGGATGCACTTGCCATCGATGAGTTTTGAGGGTTGAAGCATCTCTAGCTTGTGTTTTGCCATGAGGAAAGGCGCTGAAACAAGTTCCCCAAAACCCTAAACCCTGAATCCTAAGCCCCAAACCGTGTTTTCTTGGGCCATGGAACGCCCTGCCAAGGCACGCAGATTTAGAGACAAAGGACCAGTGAGCAATGCAGAGGAGGGCTCCCCAGGTGCTATACTCGGTTTGCAGGATTCCATCAGAGCTTCGGATTTAGGGTTTGGGCTTTAGGATCTAGGGTTGAGCCTTGAACCCAAACTCTTGATCCTAAAGCCTACATGCCCAAGACCTTAAATACCCTAAACCCAAATATCCTAGGCGGTGTTTCTTGGCTATCCATCTTCCCAGGCTTTGCATGCGGGTGCTTGTAGGAAGGGCTCGCCAGGATGCTCAAATGAGCTGCAGTCCAAACTCCTTACATGGGGTTATGCAGGGGATTAGGGTTTAGGGTTAGGGTTTAGGGTTTAGGGTTTAGGGGGGAGTAGCACAGGTTTAGACTCTAGCTCATATGGGGCTTCCCGAGAAGGGTCTAGGGGTCAGGGCGGACGTTCCCAAAAACAGGATTCTTGATGTTTCGGTCAAGTTTAGCAAGCAAAGTGCCAGTTTAATGGGAAAGCGCATGATCTGAAGTCACCTCGCTGCGTAGGTAATCCTAAACCCTAAACCCCCAAACCCTAAAACCTAAACCCCGAACCCTAAACGCCAAAACCCTAAACCCCAAAACCCTAAACCCCAAACCTCAAACGTTCACTCACGTTGAGGCAAGAGAGGCCGCACCTGTGGGATGCGGATGCGGACTGCACAACCAAGCCAGGGCCCCCGAGCTTACCTTGACATGTTATATAGAGATGCCTCGGGACATATAGATGCAAGGGATGTATAGGGATATTTTTAGGGACATATAGGGACACATAGGGGACATATAGGGTTTATGGCTTAAATGGAGTTCTGCAGACAGATGTGCCCCAGGCTCATAAGCACGCCCTCGGAAGTGAGACATTAGGCAACTGACTCAGTGCACTACTCCATAGCTTCGGAGAGCTTCGGACATGCCGCGTTTCTTCTTGACGTTTAAGGTTTAGGGTTTGAGGGCTTAGGCTTTAGGGCGTAGGGTTCAGGGTATAGGGTTTAGGGTTTTGACATTTGCTTGCCGTTCCTACACCATGATTCTTCTGATTGCTGTTTGGGATTACTCGCTGCATTGCCCAGTTGGGAAGATACTGTCATTCTCGCAGCTCTGATTATGCCCAGGTATGTGGTCCTAAGTTGAATTTACAGCCGCAGTGGTAGTGATTCCTTGCCAAGCTTTTGCTCTCGGTGTCTAATATGTCTTGTGTGAACTCTGGGAATGCGCGGTAACTGGCACTTTGAAGCCCAAGACAACCGCTCTCTCATTCCTATGTAGTGTATACCTGGCATCTTCCTCGTGTTTCCCTTTCGGAGTTCCCCAAAATCCCCCTTACGAAGGGTTTAAGGTTTTGGGGTTTAGGGCTGGTTGTGGGCTCTGGGTTTAGGGTTTTTGGGTTTTGGGGTTTCGGGGTTTCGGGGTTTGAGGTTTTCTTGTACGAGTTGCCATCAAATTGCAGCATTGAAACTGCGCCTCAGCCGCCTTCAGCTTACTTCTAATGGTGCTTACAACAGAGTGTAGGAAAGGAGCTACAGCCGTTTTGGGCAAATCATATCAGGAGTATTATGGCCTTAAGCACCAATGACTCTTGCCTCTCATCAGGTAAACCCTAAGCCCTAAACCGTATAGAACCCTATATAGCCCTATATAGCCCTATATAATCCCCTATATTACCCCCTATGTTCGGGCAGCATGGGATTCTCCTGTGTGGTTCCATATGCTTGAAGAAGATTACACAAACTGGACAGTGCCTGTGACATTTTTGTTTTGTGAATGTTTTTTCAGGAAGGATCCAGGACGCTTTACGAAGGAGGGGATTGTAGGTGCATTGTACCTTCCCTCACCACGGGCAGGGCAGCGAAGAGACTGATTTCAAGTTCAGGGTACAGTTTTCCGGTTCTAAGCTCTAGAACTCGCAGACATCACATGTGCCTAGGCCCTGCTGCAAGCTTCGGAAATCCCCGCGTTGCGCGAGGCAAGATGCATCACAGTAAAAAGCTGCAGGGAGGGAACAGGATCATGTAGGGGTTACTGATTACAGTATAGGGTTTCGTTCCGCCATTCCCGAGCGGGACTTCGTAGCAGTTTGGCTCACCCTGTTGTCTGTGTGTGTTTGACAGGTCATCGCATACCTGGCCTGGCGTGAAGCCCTGGCACGTTTGAAGGTCTCAGCGAGGTTGTCTAGATTATGGTCCTCTCTTGAGCAGGGGTAGCATTCTGCCAGGGGCTCAAAGATGGGCCATCATGTTGACAACCTTCCGTATGTCTGAGGGTTGTGTCGCCGGCGGGCCATGTCTACGTTGCAGCTATTCCTGTTTGCCCTGCCGGTTGACATTCCATTTCGGTGCTTGTCCGAGCTGATTCTCTTTGCCTGTGACCGCCACTTAATGAGAGACAAAGGCTTCGCCGGCAGCTCCATGCAACTTGCACAAAGCCGTGTTTCTGGCATTTGCTGAGCCGATAGCTAGTTCTTTTTTTGTAAATCTGTTGCGGTGACTTGAATGGAAATGCCTGTCAAAATAGCGGCAACTTGAGAATCCCTGTTGTTTGGCTTCATGCATGACAACATTCTCATGCAAAGAGTATTGCATTTTGAGGACCTCGCTCGCTTACTTTGCAGAGAATGCTGAACAACTGGACAGCTGTCAAGCCTCTGCCGTGAAGAATGTACTTGTATACGCTATCGCGCAGCCGCCTTGGCTGTTGGGGTGCACAGAAGCCAAGCTAACTCGTAAGGGGAGGGGGGGGGGGCTCAAAAATCAAAGAAATGCTCATCACCCTTGCTCCAAGCCCTCAAACTTTTGGGAAGTCCTGGAAGTGCATTCTGACGGTGGGGCTGGACTGGGCCACCCACCACTGGAGGGGGTGGCGGGTCAGCAAATGCAGCGGGTTCCAAACGCCCTCAGGCTGGATTGATTAGCCTCGGCGAATTTTGATCGCTCATGTCCGCTGGTCAATGGATGTGACGGAGAATCACTAAAAAAGGTCCATGCGGCTATATCGTATATACTTGCCCCCGAAAGTAATTATACAGGAGGTTCGTTGGGCCCAAAGTATATACTATATAGGTACATGGACCTAGTTTTGGGTGTGCATCTTCCAAGTGAGAAGTTTGTTATGATCTTGCTGTTCAAGCTTTTCAGATTTGTGGATTGAGTGACTGCAGTACCAACTGAGTTGGGTGTGTCCCATCTTCATGCGCACAACACAATGCTTCGTTTGTGAGCGATGCAGGCAACTCGGTGCAAGCTGAATGCGCTTTGTCTACCAGTCTGGCGAGACTCACTATCTACTTCGATGGGTCCCACAATCCACTATGACCCGCAACTGTTGCCAGGTCCGCGAGCTGCGCACGTCGCTATCCACGAAGGCCCAGATCCGTTGCGGCTCCCGCAAGTCAGTGCGTGCAGCTGTGGCGCATGCAGTGACAAGCTACAATCCACAAGTCCAACTGGTAGTTTCCCTAAATAAGGGGACCCAATTTAGATGCCTAGATCCTATGATCCTTTTTATGGGGACCCCCAAAAAGGTACCGGCTAATTTTGGGCAACCCCCAACTATTCGCTGCAGGAGTCCTTCCGAAGTTCCCACTAGGGGTCATGTTATCCGACTGTTACTGGGTGGGGGCAGTACCCAAAGTATACCTTACATAATGTTATGGATTATGGATTCTAGTATGGTTTAAGGTATATTCCTGAATTAAGGGGTTGTGAGCCCTCTGGGGAGCCTTCTGATTCGTCAATCCCCGAGCTGCGTCAGGCCCTTTTCAAGATCTCCACACGGACCGTGAAATGGAGAGAGGCTGGATTGATAGTATACTATATACTACCCCAATATACTATAGTAGTTTCCATCTGCTTTTCCGTTCTCCCTATATAACCCTAATATACTATACTAAATTCCATTTTCTTTTCCATCATCCCTGCCTTGTCTGGTCGCTCTGATGTGGCTTCCTGGGTCATGCTGTGTGACTTGCTCCATGGTGCTTAGCAGGGAATGGGGGAATGGATCCCTATAGCAGTCCCTATATAATCGCCAATAATAATCCTTCCGCATTCCCTCCTAAGCACCAGGGAGTTTGTAGATTCAGTTACCA